CAGGGTAAAGGTAAAAGGCTGGAGCAGAATATATTATGCGTCAGCTGAAGTAAAAAAGCAGGGGTAGCAATCCTGATCTCAGACAAAGCAAAAGCAAAAATAGATCTTATTAAAAAGATATAAGGAAGGAAACTACATTCTGCTAAAAGGCACCATAGACAATGAAGTAATATCATTACTAAACATATATGCACCAAATGGTATAGCATCCAAATTCTTACAGGAGAAGTTCAGGGAGTTACAGGAAGAAATAGACAGCAAAACTATACTAGTGGGGGACCTGAACCTCCCCTCTCACACTAGATAAGTCTAACCACAAAATAAACAAGAAAGAAGTTAAGGAGGTGAATAGAACATTAGAAAAGTTAGGTATGATAGACCTCTGGAGAAAACTGAATGGGGATAGAAAGGAATATACTTTTTTCTCGCAGTACATGGCACATACACAAAAATTGACCATGTACTAGGGCATAAAAACCTCACAATCCAATGCAGAAAGGCAGAAATATTAAATGCATCCTTTTCAGATCATGATGCAATAAAAATTATATGTAATAAAGGTCATGGAAAGATAGACTAAAAAATAATTGGAAACTAAATAATCTAATCCTAAAAAATGAATGGGTCAAACAACAAATCATAGAAACAATCAATAAATTCATTCAAGAGAATGACAATAATGAGACAACATACCAAAACCTATGGGATGCAGCAAAGCAGTTCTTAGGGGAAGTTTTATATCTCTAAATGCTTACATAAATAAAATAAAAAAGAGGAGATTAATGAATTGTGCGTACAACTAAAAAAAAACTAGAAAAAGAACAACTTAAAAATCCTCCACTAAAAACTAAATTAGAAATATTGAAAACCAAGAGAAAAATTAATAAAATTGAAATTGAGAAAACCATTGAACTAATAAATAAAACTAAGAGCTGGTTTTATGAAAAAACAATAAAATAGATAAGCCTTTGGTTAATTTAATTAAAAAAAGAAAGAAGAAAACCAAATTACTAGTATCAAGAATGAAAAGGGGAAGCTACCACCAAGGAAGAGGAAATTAAAACAATAATTAGGAATTATTTTGCCCAACTATATGCCAACAAATTTGACAATCTTAGTGAAATGGATACATATTTACAAAAATATAAATTGCCCAGATTAACCAAGAGGAAGTAAAATACTTAAATAACCCCATCTCAGAAAAAGAAATTGAACAAGCCATTGATGAACTCCCTAGGAAAAAATCTCCAGGGCCAGATGGATTTACATGCAATTCTATCAAACATTTAAAGAACAATTAATTCCAATACTATATAGACTATTTGGGAAAATAGGTGAAGAAGGAGTCTTACCAAATTCTTTTTATGATACAAATATGGTGTTGATACCTAAACCAGGAAGAGTCAAAATAGAGAAAGAAAATTATAGACCAATTTCTCTAATGAATATAGATGCAAAAATTTTAAACAAAATACTAGCAAGTAGATTGCAGCAACTTATCACAAGAATAATACACTATGACCAGGTAGGATTTATACCAGGAATGCAGGGTTGGTTCAATATTAGGAAAACTATCAGCATCATTGAGCATATCAACACAAAACCAACAGAAACCACATGATCATCTCAATAGATGCAGAAAAAGCTTTTGATAAAATACAACACCCATTCCTATTAAAAACACTAGAAAGCATAGGTATAAATGGAGTCTTCCTTAAAATAATAAATAGCATATATAAAACCTTCAGCAAGCATTATATGTAATGGGGACAGGCTAGAAGCATTTCCAATAAGATCGGGGTGAAACAAGGATGTCCATTATCACCACTGTTATTCAATATTGTACTGGAAATTAGCTTTAGCAATAAGAGAAGAAAAAGAAATTGAAGGCATTAGAATAGGCAAAGAAGAAACAAAGCTATCACTCTTTGCAGATGACATGATGATATACTTAGAGAATCCTAGAGAATCAAGTAAAAAACTACTTGAAATAATAAACAACTTTAGCAAAGTTGCAGGCTATAAAATAAACCCACATAAATCATCAGCATTTCTATATATTACCAACAAAGCCCAACAGCAAGAGATAGAAAGAGAAATCCCATTTAAACTTACTGTAGACATTATAAAATATTTAGGAGTCTACCTCCCGAAACAAACCCAGGAACTCTATGAACACAATTACAAAACACTTTTCACACAAATAAAATCAGATCTAAATAATTGGAAAAACATCAGTTGCTCATGGGTAGGCCGAGCTAATATAATAAAAATGACAATCCTACCTAAGCTAATTTACTTATTCAGTGCCATACCAATCAAACTACCAAAAATTATTTTATAGAGTTAGAAAAAATAATAACAAGATTCATTTGGAAAAACAAAAGGAACCAATGAAAAGAAATGCAGGGGAAGGTGACCTAGCAATTCCAGATCTTAAATTGTATTATAAAGCAGCAATCATCAAAACTGCTTGGTACTGGCTAAGAAATAGGGAGGTGGATCAGTGGAATAGGTTAAATATGCAAGACACAGTAGTCAATGACTATAGTAATCTATTATTTGATAAACCCAAAGACCCCAGCTTCTGGGATAAGAACCCACTCTTTGAAAAAAACTGCTGGGAAAACTGGAAAAGAGTATGGCAGAAACTAGGCATAGACCCAAATCTCACACCATATACCAAAATAAAGTCAAAATGGGTTCAGGACTTAGATATAAAGGCTGATACCATAAGTAAACTGGGAGAACAAGGAATAGTTTACCTATCAGATCTATGGAGAACAGAAGAATTCATGACCAAACAGGAGATAGAGAACATTATGAAAAGCAAAATGGATCATTTTGATTACATTAAATTGAAAAGTTTTTGCACAAACAAAGCCAATGCAACTAAGATTAGAAGGAAGGTAGAAAATTGGGAAAGAATTTTTACAACCAGTGTCTCTGATAAAGGCCTCATTTCTAAAATACATAGAGAATTAAGACAAATTTATAAGAACACAAGCCATTCCCCAATTGATAAATGGTCAAAGGATATGAACAGACAGTTCTCAGATGAAGAAATTAAAGCCATCTATAGTCATATGAAAAAATGCTCTAAATCATTATTGATTAGAGAAATGCAAATCAAAACAACTCTGAGGTACCACATCACACCTATCAGATTGGCCAACATGACAAAACAGGAAAATGATAAATGTTGGAGAGGATGGGAAAATTGGAACACTAATACATTGTTGGTGGAGTTGTGAAATGATCCAACCATTTTGGAGAACAATTTGGAACTATGCCCAAAGGGCTACAAAAATGTGCATACCCTTTGATCCAGCAATAGCACTTCTAGGGCTATATCCCAAAGAGATCAAACAAATGGGAAAAGGACCCACATGTACAAAAATATTCATAGCAGCTCTTTTTGTGGTGGCAAAGAATTGGAAATTGAGAGGATGCCCATCAATTGGGGAATGGCTGAGCAAGTTGGTATATGAATGTAATGGAATACTATTGTGCTATAAGAAATGATGAACAGGCTGACTTCAGAAAAACCTGGAAAGACTTGTGTGATCTGATGCTGAGTGAAGTGAGCAGAACCAAGAGGACTCTGTACACAATAACAGCCATGTTATGCAATGACTAAGATTGTTTAACTGAACCCTTCTCAGCATTAGAGGATCTAAGACATCTCCAGAGGCCTGGGATGGAAAATGCTGTCCACATCCAAAGAAAGAACTATGGAAGTCAAATCGCTCTCACTTATTTTACCTTGTTGATTTTGTTTCATCTTTCTGATGGTTCCTCCTATTGGTTTTAATTTTTACTTACAACTTCACTAATGTGAAAATATGTTTAATGGGTATGTAAATGTAAAGCCTATGTCAGATTGTGCGCTGTCTTGGGGAGGGTGGGGGGAGGAAGGGGGAGAAACATTTTCAACTCAAAAGCATATGGAAGTGATTGTTGACAAATCAAAATAAATTAATAAAATTTTTAAAAAAAGAAAAAGAAAAAAAGGGAATATTACATGCATGATAGTTTATCCTATACACCAAAATTCTACACAGAAAATTCAATATTTGAAAAACACAAAGTAAATCAAAACCTCTTCTGGAGTACCCATTCTGCAAGGGGTTAAAGTACTACCTTGGTTATATTTTCTTTCTTTTTTTTTCCTAAAGGAAATTTTATCTGGTATATAATTGTTTTGTGTGTTTTGCTAAGACTACTATTTTCATACTATTTCAGTGGAATAATATAGCTTTTCCCAACTATTCCCTGTATGCCCTTAAAAAATATGGATACCCTTGTTCTAATCTTTCTGCCTCTCTTTGATCCACTGCTAACCCTGCCCTAGCTGCTACTGAATGCCAGCTAAATTATAATTTGTCACCTGGCTAAGCCTTCTCTATTTTCTCCAGACCTGGCTTTATACCTTAAATCTACAGCAGCTACTGGCCCAACATAATCAGACCTTGGAAGATAGTATTAATCCGCACCTCTTTTTAATAACCATGGGAAAAACCAGTAATAACTTGATATATTAACCTACTTCTGGCCATGATTGGAGGTCAGGGACAAATTAAATTAATGAATAAATGCCGTTAGATATTTGATGTTGTAGTTCATTCTTTTTTTTATATTAAATCATGGGATAGCTGTTGCATTCTAGTACCCTCTGAAGTATGACTCTTAGATACAGGGGAATTGTTTAAGTAGTCAGTCAATTTTGGTTCCATTTTCAAACAGAAGTGACTGCTAATACTTAGCACAGTGTCTGGCATTTAGTAGGTGCTTAATAAGTGCTAACTCCTAAAGACAGCGATTCAATGATCGGATGGAAAATTTCTTGCCTTTTAGTGTAAGGTAGGAGTTTTATTCAATGACAGTGTTAAAATGCTCCCTTTTATCTACCAGTTCCAATAAACAGGTGCTTAGTGTAGACAGATAGCTTATACAATTAATTTGCAGAATATTTGCAAATGTGTTTTGTTTATACTTACTTGAAATCTTCTGTACCCAGCTGAACTTGTTGTGAACAAAAAGTAAATAAAACAGAAGTCCACTCAGTACAAATAACACACAATATAGATATGGTAACTCTGGGTTAGTGATGATTGGTGCCAATACTAGGTAAATTGAAATAAAGGTCACCAATATGGGAATAAAAACAGGCACCTGTAAAACAGAACAACAAATCGATATTGATTATGGTGTTCTTTTGCATTCAAACTATGCGTTATATAATAGAAGAGATTCTAGAAGTATGAATTTGTAGAGATGCACATTCAATTTGTGTCAAACGTCCAAACTCTACTCTGACCTGGTTTCATTACTGATGGTTAAGATTTTGTTCTAGGATGAAATAATAGCACTCTAAAACAAAACTCTAGATCTCTCATTAGCAGCTTTTAATAACTCTCATTTTTGTTATTTATTTTTATTTTTTTTAATTAACAAAAATGGATTTTTCTCCCTCCCACATCTCCATCTACCACTATATATTGTCAAGCTAAACAAATTCACACATTGACCATGTCCAAAAACTACATGCTTCAATCTGCACCCTGAGTCCATCGCTTCTCTGTCAGATGGTGGGTACATACTTCATAACTGGTCATCTGGAATCATGGTGGTTATGGCATTGATCAGAATTCTTAAGTCTTTCAAAAATAATTCCAACTTCTATATCGCTTTCCCAACAACATCTTTGTTAGGTAGTTAGTATACGTGTTATCCCGATTTTGCAAAGGAGGAAATAGGCTCTGAGAGGCTGAAATTTACTCCTGGTCAAATAACTAGGAAGTTTATGAAGTGGGATTTAAACCTTTGTAACTCTAATTCCAGTGCTGTTTATACTATACTGAACTACTAGCTAAGATTTGTTAGTACTTAGGTTTAACTGGAAGAGGTATACTGCCACTTGAAGATTCTGGATACAACAAGAGAACACTAGGCACTTGATAGGGGTAGGGATATGCTGCTATTTAATTTTCCTGAGGCCTTTGAGTGGCACCCATTTACATGCCCTAGCAAGATGCCTACCAAAGACTGCTAACACTTCATACGCTGAATAAACTGGAAATATGTTCAACCCTGGTAATATTTTATCAAAAGTGTATATACATGAATCAGCTAACCCATTTACCCGAGGAGTCTTATGTTATGAAAAGCTATGTCAGAGGTATTTGTGATGTCTAATCAGAAAAGCAAATAAAGGAATCAAGTCAGTAAATGGTAAAAATGAAAGTTTGGGGACCTGCAAATTCAATCAATCAACAAGCTCTTAATAACACCTAATACATGTCAGACACTAGAAATACAAAGTCAAAAACAAGAACAGAGCTTGCCCTCAAGGATCTTATATTCTACTCTCTCCCTACACTATGCATGTACCTATAAATAAATGTAAAATATGTACAAAACAGAATAAAAATGTAATCAAGAAAGAAAGAGAAGTTAAACCTTAAAGGAAGGACAGGTCTTTTTCTTTTTAAACAGTACCTACCTTGATAGGTCTTTTACGGTCTTTCTTTGTAAACCTCATCACGATCAGTCCTACTACAGTCAGGCCATAAAAGAACCATGAAGCAAAGCTGAAGTAGTTAATTAATGTATTTATATCTCCAGGTATGATGTACAGGATAGCAATGATGCCCTAAATGATGAAAAGAATGACTTTTGAGGTTACTAGAACACAAACATTATCCCAATGCTCCTGAAAAAAATAATTCCTCCTATAATAATACAGATTTGAAGAGGTGGCCATGAGAAGAGGGACATCTTTTACCTCGCAAGCAGCAAAGGCAAACATGAGCGCCTATTACTGGCTTCCTTCAAGCTCAATGGAAACAATTTGACATATCTATAAGGATTTGGTGTTTCCATGACAAAGAGAAAAAAACAACCTGAACTGGCCTAACAACTATTATGTTTAATTCCACTTGAATTCTTACTCAAATTCATTTGGCCTTGGGGAATAGAGAGCTTTATATTGATCATGTCAACATTTGGCTGAGATCACACTCCTTTCTTCTATCTTCTTGCTTATATAGAATCTATAATTTGTGACCTAGACTTGGAAAAAAAAATTCAAGTATCTATAACATGGGGTCAGGAGACACACTGAATGGCTTAAGCAGGAACTGACAAACTCAGTTAGGCAGAAGAAACTTGGTAAACTATTGAACATTTTCACTTTACACAGACAATCTCTCCCAGGAATAAAGGAAAGAATGCTGTTTATCTGGAAACCGTTGTGATTAACAATAAACATTTTTGTGTCTGAAGGGTTAACCTTGAAGAATTTGTACTTACATAAAAGATGATGGCAGGTGCTGGAGTTAGGCGCTTAACACTGATGTAAGAAAGCATCTTTAACATGTGACCTTCCCGTCCTGCCACATAAACCAATCTGCCAAAATAAAAATAACTTGGAATGCTCAGGAAAGAACCGTACTGGCCCTCAGAGAAATGTTTTCACATTTACTGAGCCCTTACCCAGAAAAAATGAGCATGATTTTTCAAGGGAGGAGATGGATATTCAACGAACTAGGAGACTTCCAAACCTTCCTGATAAAAACACCAGAGCTCAACAAAAAATTTGATCTTCAAGTACAAGATTCAAGAAAGACATAAAAAGGCAAATGGGACAGAAAGATACAATACGTTGTTAATAAGGGCAGATTGTTTACATCCCTACAAGGGAAGATGACACTTGCAGCTCTTGAGAACTGTATTGTTATTTCACCATGTTAAAGGAGTATACATAAAGGAGGTGGATATTAGTTGACTTTGATGTAATGATAAAAAAAAAATCTAATCAAGTGGGTTAAATGGATCCAAGTAAGTGGATTAGTTTGATCTTAGAAAAGGTCAGAGAAAAGAGGAGTCAGACAAGGGTAAATTACATTACAGGAAAAGACACAAAATCCTATTACAGCAGAGGAAAAAGGGGGGTGGGTGGGCATTGTTTGAACCTAACTCTCATCAGATTTGGCTCAAGAAGGGAATAACATAATCAGTTAGGTATAGAAATCTAACTTGCCCTACAGGCAATAGGAGGGAAAAGGTGAAAGAAAAGGGAGGGAGGAATAAAAGGGAGGGAAGAAGCAGTAAGACTAAAGGGGAAGAAAAGGGAAAGGGAGGGAGGGAGTGAGGGAGGCGGTGGCCAAAAGCAACACACTAGTGAGGGGAGGAAAGGAGAAAGGAGAAAGAAAAGCATAAACAGGGAAAAAAGGATGGAGAAAAAGACACAGATAGTAATCATAACTGTGAATGTTAGTGGGATGAACTCTCCCATAAAACAGAAACAGACTGCAGAATGGATTAAAAACTATAATCCTACAATATGTTGTTTACAGGAAACACTTTTGAAAAAGAGTGACACATACAGGGTAAAGGTAAAAGGCTGGAGCAGAATATATTGTGCTTCAGATGAAGTGAAAAAAGCAGGGGTAGCAATCCTGATCTCAGACAAAGCAAGAGCAAAAATAGATCTAATCAAAAGAGATAAGGAAGGAAACTACATCCTGCTAAAAGGCACCATAGACAAATGAAGTAATATCATTACTAAACATATATGCACCAAATGGTATGGCATCCACATTCTGAGAGGAGAAGTTCAGGGAGTTACAAGAAGAAATAGACAGCAAAACTACACTAGTGGGGGACCTCAACCTCCCCCTCTCTGTACTAGATAAATCTAACCACAAAATAAACAAGAAAGAAGTTAAGGAGGTAAATAGAACATTAGAAGAGATAGACCCCTGGAGAAAACTGAATGGGGATAGAAAGGAATATACTTTTTTTTTTTGGCTAGGCAATGGGGTTAAGTGACTTGCCCAACATCACACAGCTAGTTAAGTGTTATGTGTCTGAGGCTGGATTTGAACTCAGGTCCTCCTGAATTCAGGGCCAGTACTCTATCCACTGCACCACCTAGCTGCCCCAAATATACTTTTTTTCAGCAGTACATGGCACATACACAAAAATTGACCATGTACTACGGCATAAAAACCTCACAATCCAATGCAGAAAGGCAGAAATATTAAATGCGTCCTTTTCAGATCATGATGCAATAAAAATTATATGTAATGAAGGGCCATGGAAAAATGGACTGGAAAATAATTGGAAACTAAATAATCTAACCCTAAAAAATGATTGGGTCAAACACATTTACTGAGCCTTGTACACATATAATGTCACTTCATTAATGAAATAAAACATTTTTTTCAACTACACTGTTGACTTTAGTGGTGGATGAGTTTAGATCTCAATTTCATGACAGTGTGGGGAGGTGAATATTGGAAAAGAGAATTTTGTTTTGTAAATGTGATATTTACATGGCCCTTGGAAGAAAATGTAGCTAGTGTATTCTGATTCCTCTTTTCTAATAATCAGAAAACTACTCAGATGTGCAAATTACTCTAGAGGGGGTAAAGTGTGGAGCTTGGGGAATTCAAAAGTTTGTAGCTATTTTGCGGGCTGGTTTTGTACTTTATGTCAAGCTCTTAGGTAGAAATTCCTTGATGTGAAAATAGCTACTTTCTAAAAAACATTTCTTACTGATCATTTTGTGGCCCCCGACATATGGAAAGTAGAATCGGATTTATGACCATGACCTTCCTGATTCCCCCGCCTTTAATATCGCCTCTTGACTTGGTTCTTCTTAACACTAGCAGAGTAATCTTCTCAACGCACAGTTCTGATCACATTGTTGTTGTTTGTTTGTTATCCTTCGTTTTTGAAGAAGACCAATGACATCCCAGGTGACGTCTCGACTTGCTAGTAAATTGTATTTGAGTGAGGCAGAGCTGCATAAAGTGGTCCGTCTCACTCTCTCTTCCAGAGTCATTGAAGTCCAGTGGCAAGACAAAAGTCAGGACAATCGGCAATGACCCGGGGTACAGCGGATAACCTGGGTGTCTTCAATGTCTGACCAAGCTCTGAGCGCACCACAGTGCCTGCTTTAGCAGCCTTCGTGGCTGTTGGAACAAATTGTTCTCATCCACCCATTCAGCCAGGGGAAGTCTTCATGTGCTTGGGGCAGACATTTCCCTAATCACCGACTGATTTAAGGCCTCTTGGGTTCCCTCATCCTGGTTTAGCCTGTCTGCCAAGAGAATTTTACTAGGGTCTGGCCACTGCACATGCTATATCTTCTTGGATCTACAAGTAAGAACTCTTCTGCTCTTCATTCTCTTCTAAATAAAAGTTCAAACTCCATATTTCAACATTTAACGCTTTCCACAATTTGGTTCTAATCTACCCTCATCTGACATTCTACCTGTTCACGTACTGTGTTCTGTCTAAATTGGACTACTTAAACTGATCTTATCCTGTCCTCTCCATGTAGTTCCTAATGTTATTTGCTTATGTCTAGCCCCATATCTCTACCCAATCTCCACCTACTGAAAGTCTTCCCTGTCTTTAGGGTCCAGTTCACATACCATTTCCTTCATGAAGCCTTTCTGATCCCCTCTACCTGGATGTGACTTTCCCTCTCCTTGTTCCTGCTACCACCACCAAAACCTTCTCAGAACATTTTTTATCTCTCCTATTCCCTTAGCATATTATAATTTTTATTATATTTGCATTCATGTCTTTTCTGCTTTATTAGATTATTAGCCCCTTGAGGACAGGGACTTTAGTAGGATTTTCCTTTTGTTTTTATTTTGTTTTCTTTTCTTTTTGGTGAGGCAATCAGGGTTAAGTGACTTGTTCATGGTCACACAGCTAGTAAGTGTCAAGTGTCTGAGGCTGGATTTGAACTCAGGTCCTCCTGACTCCAAGGCTGGAGCTCTTTCCACTGTGCCACCTAGCTACCCCTAGTAGTTCATTTTTCATACTTAACAGAGGATTGCTTTGCACAGAGTAGGTGCTTAATAAATATTTGTGGAAATGACTTGAATTTTCCTCCTTGAGGGAATCACAAAGCTAATTTGTTCTGCCCATGTTTAACACAACTAGCTGTCCTGAAACTTTACCTTCCAGCAGTGAAACAGGTGCCATTAGCAGCTCCAATCGTTGAGAATGCTACAAAGAGTGGAACAATCCAGGAAGCTGGATAGAGAACCCGGTCACCAAAAGTCTAGGAGAAGAAAAGAATTTGCTCCAGAGGAAGTTACAAGTTCTTTGGATGAGGAAACAAACTTGTGTTGACTGGTTCATTTCAGATCTTGGGGGTCTGCAATTAAATCCAGTTCTGTATTTATGCCTGACACACGCTACCATTATCTTAAAAGTCTTAAGTGTTTTCTTTATACTACACGAAACATTGACTTGTCTTTAATGGACAAAGAACCCTCTTCCTTATAATTCAGGAGTTCTTAACCTTTTTTGTTCATGGACCCTTTAGTGGCCTGGTGAAGCCACTAAACCCCTTCTCTGAATAATAATGCTTTTAGATGTATAAATTAAAACACATAGGATTACAAAGGAATCTAATTAAATTGAAACATAGTTATCAAAATATCTATCAAAAACAAATTCATGGACCCCAGTTTAAGAACTCCTGTTCTGATTGATAATTTGGACTAGAGATGTTAAACACAAGACCCATATAGCCCACAATACTATTGTGTCCAGAACAAGATCAATAAAATTTAATTGGGAAATATTTAACACAGTAAGTAAAAAAATACAATAAAACATAGATAATGTTAATATGTGGTTTTCTAAGTCAAAATGTGACCTGCAGGAATCTTCGATATGGCTGCTTTAGAGGCCCTTGTTTCTATTTGAGTTTGACACCAGCGATTTAGACTTCCTCCTCCTACACTAAGCCACAGCCATTGGGTGGGTGGGATGCTTGTTCCTGATATCATGATCCTACAGTAGCTCTGCAGCAGGGACATTGGGAGTGTGGGGTGGGATGGGGGGTTGTAAGAAATGATAGCTGCATTTGTTATTGAAGGGCAAATGATCTTTAATGCCTCCATCTCCCTTGAAGAAACATCTGACCATCTTTAATGATTCAAGAGAATTTGTTTTCCCACTATCCCAGTGTTAGGGGTTGTCTCATTCTCAAGGGAGGCATGTATTTCTGATCATAGGATCACAGATTCCGATCTGAAAGACATCTTCAACTAAGTCAGGTTCAATTTCCTGATTTGACAGTTGAGGCAACTGAGGCCCAGTGATTTGCCCAAGGTCACACAGGTCATGACAGATCCAGGATTCAATTACAATTCTTTGACTCCAAAGCCAACGTTTGCCCTAGGGTACCATCGACAGTATCAGCTGCTCATCTTGATTGTGAGTGAAAAGGCCGGGGAACAAGAATGTGGAGGGCAAACTTTTATTTGGGGTCATCGAACTGTTTAGGTACTTATGGTAACTAGGTGGTTGAATCTTCCCCACGGCCAAGAGAAGGAAAAGAGATATCAGAGGTTATGGGAGCACAAGGTAATTAGCACAGCATTCAAGAACTCGAGGTCACCTCTGTGCCTCTAGTCACAAATAATAACACAATTAATAATAATGATAATAAATAAGATAGTGTCTTGCAAAAATTCTGCATGACTTACCACAGCCACAGCTTGGGACTGTAAGAGTTCTGTAGAAGTCATTACAGTGAAGTAGGAAATGTTCATTAGAACGTAGAACACAGTTACCAGGGGGATGCCAATGATGATAGCCAGGGGCAAGTTTCTAAGTTTGCAAAAACATAAGAACATAGTAGCACTCAAAGTTGTTGGTATGTCTCAAAATATACGGCATAAATCTTCCTTAATATTACTTGGCTAATGGACAAAAATCATTACACAGAAGCTCAAATTTTAACTCGATAATATTATAAATAAAATTATAAGAGCCATTGAAAAATATCAGTTTTTCAACCAGATTCCCTTATTTTAGATACAAGATCAGCTCACACACCTTCAAAAGCATATTGGAAAAAATCTTAAACTATAACCGTGTGTGTGTGTGTGTGTGTGTGTGTGTGTGTGTGTGTGTGTGCAATGTTAAATGACCTACTAAAAACCTGGGGTTCAGAGACTTAGGAACATTTGTTCATTGAAGCAGCTGGGATATTATGGCCTGCATTGTGTCAGCTCCTTTGTCAAATCAGTGGTGTGTTCTTTGTCACAAGACTGCTCCAGAATTTGTCAAGACAGTGGATTTGTTACACTTTCATTAGCAGGGAGTTCAGTGAGCATGCATTTCCAAGTTACAAAAGCAATGAGCAAGTAAGTGCTGGGAGAAGGGTAAGAGTATACTAGCATTTATACAATAATAGCTAGCATTTACATAGTGCTTTATAATTATTATCTCATTTTATCCTCACAACTCTGGGAGGTACGTGCTATTATTATCCCCATTTTACAGTTGAGGAAACTTGGGCAAGTAGAAGCAAAGTGACTTTCCCAGGATCAGGCAGCTAGAAAACACCTGAGGTTGGATTTGAACTCCTGTCTTCCTGACTCCAAGTCCAGGGCTTTAGCCATTATACCATCTAGCTTTCCTACTCATTTGGCCCAAATGGAAGGTGAAAAGTTTTGCTAAGACTTAGATCGACAGTATGGCTGTATAGAAAATAAAGTTACTCGTTTTGATATTTCTAAATGACAGATCAAGGCTCCATCTACCACAGCCAGTCTAGACATTTTCATCCCATAGCCTCCCTCCACTCTGCCCCTCACCAAAAGCTCCAAAAGTGCTAGCTAATGAGATCTCTATTCTGAAGAAACCAGCCTCCGATTCGTTTTCAAAGAGGTACAAAGGGACAGCAGAGGAGCCATGAGGGAGTAGCTTTGACTATCTGTGGGACAACACCTGCCACTACATTTTGCCCCTTGTTACTCTGGCTGGGCCCAGAGACACTTACTTACCTGTAGGGGTTTTCAAGTTCTTCTGTGATATAATTCAGTTGATTCCTAGAGAAAGAAAAACAGCCACATCTAGGACATCTGTGGTTTTCCAACAATATTCCTCTTGCTTTTGGCAGGAAGACTTCCTTGGTCCTCCTCTCCCCAACACTCTCCCCTTATAGTAAGTTGCAGTCTCTCTGAGATGATCTTTTATCTACACCATAGGTATCTTATATGCACAATTTTTGCATGTTGTCTTCCTATCTTGAATGTGAGCTTTTTAAGGGCAGGGCCTGTGTTTTTGCCTTTCTTTGTACTTACATGCTTAGCACAGTGCCTGGTACCCAGTAAGAACTTAATAAATGTGTATTGCCTGCCAACTCGACCAGAAAGGTCTTTCCTACCCCTATCCTCCTCATGCAAGAGTGGATTGCTGGGGCAGCTAGGTGGCACAGTGGATAGAGGACTGGCCCTGGATTCAGGAGGACCTGAGTTCAAATGTGACCTCAGACACATAATACTTACTAGCTATGTGACCCTGGGTAAGTCTCTAAATCCCATTGCCTACCCAAAAAACAAAACAAACAAACAAAAACAGTGGACTGCCAAGCCACGTGAGCTCAATGACAGACATCAAGTACACTCAGGTAAGACTCCACACTTCACCACCGTAAGGTAGGTGCTATTTTATCCCCAATTTACAGATGAGGAAACTGAGGCAAACAGAAGGTTAAGCAACTTGCTCAGTGTCACACTGAGGCTAAATGTCTGAGCCAAATTTGAACTGAGGTCTTCTTGACTCCAGGCCTGGCACTCTCTCTACTGTACCACCTAGTTGCCCCTAATATAGGCATTTAAATTTCAATTATTTAGTTATGGGAAACAAATGGAAGAAGTAAGGATGTAACCTTGTCGAGGTTCTGAAAGAAAACAAGTTTCTGTAACAACAAAGGTAACGTGGGAACTTGCAGCCAAAAGGCATCTCGAAAGATAGTGCAGGGCCCTGACATTCCAATTGTCCCTGAAAGGAAATTTTAGCTGAGACTTCAATTTCCATTATTCCCTAGCCAGAGAATTAAAGTCACACTGTACGTATTTAAGAGTTGAAATATACTAGCTCTGTGACCCTGGGCAAGTCACTCAACCCTTGTTGCCTCACCAAAAAAAAAAAGTTGAAATAGAAAGAGATAAAATACTAGCTGATCTGCTAAAGTAACTGGAAGGCAGTGACTACTTCATTCATATAGACTTCTTGGAGTAGCTCTGGAAATAAATATAGGGTAACGTCAGGCTAACAGAGAGCCAAGACTGCCAGAAGAGGCATCCTCAGAATGAAATTCTTTTATATATAAAGGTATTTCTCCTCTCCTATTGTCCATAGCATTTTTCTGTTAGTAGTGGCTTCTAGTTGGTGCCCCTGCCTCCAGGTTCTCTGTCTCTCTCCAGTTTATCCATCACACAGCATCAAAAAAAATCTTCCAAAGGGACAGGTCTGACCATTTCACCCTCACACTCAAAAACCTTCATTGGCTCCCTAGCAATTCTAGGAGAAAATACTAACTCAATAGTCAAATATTCAAAGTCCTCCATAATCTAGTGCCAACCTTTCTTTCTTTCTTTCTAAATTCAATTTTATTTTTAAGTCCACATTCTCTCCTTCACCTCCCATGAACTTGCCCACTCCCAGTTGGTAAAATAAGAAAATCAAAACCTGTTATATATTTGTATAGTCAAGCAAAACAACACATTGGTCATCTCCAAAGAAGTATGTCTCAATCTACATATACTTTGAATCTATCACCTCTCTATCTGGAGGTAGGTAGCAAATTTCATCATGGAATTGTGGTTAGTAATTGTGTTGGTTAGAGCGCCTAAGTCTTTCAAAGCTGTTTGTCTTAACGATATCGTTGTAATTGTATAAATTGTTCTCCTGATTCTGTTCACTTTCGCTTTGCATCAATTCATGTCTTTCCAGCTTTCTCTGAAACCACCCCATTCATCATTTCCTATAGGACAAGAGCATTTCATCATATTAAAACACCGTAATTTGCTTATCTCTTTACCAATTGATGGGCACTCCCTTAGTTTCCAATTTTTTGCTGCCACAAGAAAGACTTGCTATGTGGGTCCTTTTCCTCTTTTTTTAAACCTCTTTTTGGTATAGACCTGGTAGTAGTATCAATGGGCCAAAAATATTCACAGTTTAATAGCTTTTTGGACATAGTCCCAAATTGCTTTACAGAATGGTTGGACAAGTTCAGTTTCACCAACAATGCATTAATATACCTGTTTTTACACAGCTCTTCCAACATTTGTCATTTCCCATTTTGTTAACTTAGTCCATTTGTTGGTTGTTTTAATTTGCATTTCTCTAGTTACCAGTGATTTAGAGCATTTTTTCATATGGCTATTGATAGCTTGAATTTTATCTTCTGAAAACCGCCTATTTATATTTTTGGACCATTTATTATTTGGGGAATGGCTCTTATTCCTATAAATTTGAATCAGTTCCCTATATATCTTAGAAATGAGATTTTGATTAGAGAAATTTGCTACAAAGATTTTTGCCCCATTTACCTGATTCTCTTCTCATTTTAGCTGCATTGGTTTTGTTTGTGCACAAACTTTGTAATTTTATGTAATCAAACTGACCATTTAACCTCCAGTGAACCTTTCTTATCTCTTGTTTGGTCAGGAATTCTTCCCCTATCCATAGATCTGACATAGTTTCTTCCATGCTACTCTTAAGTTATTTATCACCCTTTCTGTCTACATTGTATACTCATTTAGAGCTTGTCTCAGTATATGGTATTAGATGTTGGTTTGTAGCTAGTCTCTCCCAGATTGCTTTCCAGTATTCCAAATAATTACTATCAAATAGTGAGTTCTTGCCTCAATAACTGGGATCTTTGGGTTTATCAAACACTAGGCTACATGTATGTTTACTTTTACATATTGTGTACCCAATCTGTTCCATTGTTTAACTTCTGTATTTCTTACCCAGTACTAATTTTTTTTCGATGACTACAGCTTTGCAGTACAGCTTGCGATCTTGTACTGCTAAGTTGCCTTCTTTCTCACTTTTTTTTTTATTAATTCCCTTGGTATTCTTGACCTTTTGTGCCTCCAAATGAATTTTGTTATTGTTTTTCTAGTTCTATAAAGCATTACTTTGGTAGTTTGATTGTTATGGTACTGAACAAATAAATTAACTAAGATTAGTATTGTTATTTTTATTATATTGGCTCAGCCAATTACATCTGTGTTTATTTGTATAAAGAATGTTTTATAACTGTGTCCATATAGTTCCTATGTGTCTTGGCAGGCAGACTCTCTACCTTGGCAGGTAGATTTCTCAAGCTATATTAAATAGAATTTCTCTTTCTTTCTCCTGCCGGATTTTATTAGTAACATTTGGAAATGTTGATGATTTGTGTGGGCTTATTTTATATCCTGCAGATCTGCCTAAGTTACTAATTATTTCAATTAGTTTTTAGTTGACTCTAGGATTCTTTAAGTAAACCTTCATATCATCTGCAACAAGTGGTATTTTGTTTCTTCTTTTCCTATGCTTATTCCCCTTATTTTTCTAGTCTTAATCCTTTAGCTCACATTGCTAGCACTATATTAAAAAGTAATAATGAATATCCTTTCCTTACTCTTAATCTTATTGAAAAATCTCTAGTTTGTCTACATTAAAGATAATTCTGGTTCTTGGTTTTAGATAGATAATACTTATAATAGTGTTTTACTGTGTATTTCTCTCTATAAACATTCACATTTTCCTTTAAGAATTTAGATGTTATGCTTTTTGGTGCACATGTGTTTAGTATTAATAATAATTCAGTGTCTATGTGACCTTTCAGCAAAGTGTAATTACTTTGCTCATCTCTTTTAATTAGGTCTAATTTTGCTACTGCTTTCTCTGAGATTATGATTGCTACTCTTGCTTTTTTTTTTTTTACTTCAGCTGAAGCAATAAAGATTTCATTGTAGTAGCACCTTTTTTAATTCCGCGTACATCTTTTGGTCCCAAGTGTGTTTCTTTTAAATAATATATTGTTGAATTCTGGTTTCTAATCCTTTCTGCTATCTTTTTATTGGTGAGTTTGTCCCTTTCATATTCACAATTATTTCGGCTAATTGTGTATTTCCTTCAATCCTATTCTTTTATAAACCTTGTTTCTGGCCCCCTCTTTAAGAGTTCGTTTTGCTCACAACTAATTCCTCCCTTAGTTTATCCTCTCAATTAATTCTCCTTTTCTCTTAAACCCTTTCCTTGCTGTTTTCCTGTTGACTGAAATGTATTGCTGTGCCCAGTTGTTTGTGTATACTATAGTCTTCCCTCTTTTGACTAATTCAAGTGAGACTCAATCCCTTCCTCCTTGCTGTCTAGACTTCTACTGCTACACTCCAATTATGTGAGATAATTTCTCCCATCCTTTCTGTCCCTTCCTTCCCCCAATGTATTTCTTTCCCCATCCTAAATTAGTTTAGGGAGCCCTTTGGACTTCTTTCTGCTCCAGCCCTTCCTGCCTCAGTGCCTGACACTAGTCCTCTGTCAGTCCCTGGGCACTGGAATGCTCAGCTAGGAGTGCTTTGGCCACATTTCAGCCTTTGTGTCTGCAGATCTCTCTATCTGTCTCTCTGTACTGACTTGGACTGGAAGTATGATTCATTGGGACTTTTTCTTGGATTTCCTGATCAGGATTTGATTTGGTATATTTTCTAGATCTTTGTGGAAGCATTATGAAATGGGAAACTGGGCTGTACTTCCTACTACCCCACCAGCTTCCATGTGGTATTCAATGAACCCTTCCAGAACTTTCCACATTATTCCCCTCCATGGACTATGCAGTCCCATCAAACTGGCCTTCTTCCATTCTCTGAATTTGAAGGTCTGTTTTTTGTTGTCATCATTGTGGTTGTTTAGTTCTTTCAGTTGTGTCTGACTCTTCATGACACCATTTGGGGTTTTCTTGGCAAAGAATCTAGAGATGTTTGCCATTTCCTTCTCCAGCTCATTTTACAGATGAGAAAACTGAGGCAAAAGGGTTAAATAACTT